AAGGAAGATGGGCGACCTAAAGTGGTAAACAAGACATCAAAGAAAAAGACGCGATACGGCGCAGGGGAAGGAACAAAAATACATAAAAGAAACAAAATATAGAAGTTTCAAGCAGTGAATAAAAAATTATTATCTCAATGTCGATAAATGCTCGAGAACAAGAGGAAAAAGAAGTCTAAAGAAACGGATTATAAAATGTGAATGCATCTACCTCGGAGATTCATCGTACATTATCTTAAATGAAAGGTTTGATACAATTCTTCGTTCGTATTCAAAACATTTTAAAACATTTGTTTCGTGAAACGAAGAATTGAATAATCTCGAGAGGGAATACTTATTGTTGTTGTTTTATGAAAGGAATATTATACACAATTGCATACGTTAAACGACTGTAATTAAATAATGCATAATTCTAATGCGTCGGTTTTATATCATTTTAACAGATAAAGCATTGAAGTTGTTACTTAAAGTTTTTTAAAAATTAACAGAAACAGAGAACAAATTTAACGAACAATAGTAATATTTAAAACAAATTTCATCGAGTTATAGAAGGTGCTTCCGTAGCCAGTGTTTTCGTGTCTAAAATTTAGTCAATTTGAACAACGGATGAAACAAATTTTCGCAGCAAAACGTTTAAAGTATCACTACCTTATTTACAAAATTAAGTATAAAAGGTTTAGGTTGTAAAACAGATTTATTCGCTGGTCCTTCCACCCTGCTTCTTTAGATTTATTTGGGGGAATAACGACGTTAAACGAGAAAATGTACTCGACCGATTGAAAGACTCTCGTTTGTACAATTTAGTATAATATTCAGCAAGACCAAAACCTCGCTAAAATTCAGAAATCCCATTCAAATTTATTTCTCCGTCGACGTCTCGACTTGCGAATTTTTCTAGTTTCACCCACACGCGATGCAGCAGTCGAAACGTTGAATAAAAAACTATCCAGGGGGCTGGAATTCACGAACGACAAAAGTGAGAAATTCGTTAGTAAATCTATGGCGGAGATTACGAGACGTAGCACTTATCGCGAAAGTAATGAAACTACGGAATCGATAAATCCGAAAGGAGCAGGGAGGAGGACACAGATCGCGGAGGAGAACAAAAGGCAACGGTAGCAAAACATAGAATAGGAACGAACGCGACAAAGGGAACAAAAGGGCGGAGGAAAATTTCCTCTTGAAAAGCGCGGGAATTTGATTTCCTGGATGCCTCGGGATTCGAGTTCCGGGGCTGAAAAGTGTCCCAGACACGGTCCAGGTGATAATTAAATTTATCACGGGCATCGGTTACACGGATGTGGTTTTTGCGCAGCGGTTCGCGTGCACGCGCGTACACCGCGCTGAAATATTTTGTACCAGCCCGCGCAATAATGCGCCTGTTAAATTATCGTATTATACAACCGTCGGGTGGCTACCCCGCGGCCACCTCCCGCTGATTTACGCCGAACTAACCCCTTCGTCATTGTCACGACCCGTTTAACCGTTCTGAATCGAATCTGTCGTCGATTTTCATTCCACGATCGATTGCGAACAGAAGCTGGTCAAAACAAGCCATTCATAATTTCTGATAAAAATTTTTACAAATTTACCTGGAATTATAATTTCTTCAATAGTCTTTTATCAGAGGAGTTTTTATTTAATCATGCGTTGATGCTGCGAACCTCAAAATCAATTTTACACGGGCCTTTGCCACTGCCTAGTATTGAATAAATTTTTTTATTATATTTGGAAGAATCGTGTTGTGGTAGTGGCGTCCTTTGTTCATTTTCCAGCGCCATTTGTGCTCGGTCGGTTGATCGAAGCTTCGATGAAAATTCAACAAGCAAAGAACCACGTCATGTAATCCAAAACGCGGAACCGTAATTTGTCAGTAGCAGCATCCGTTTGTTATTTCAATTTCATTGTTCGATCGAAACAATTTGCGTACAACGAAAAATTAAAAAATATTCGTCTCGTTGTTTGGGCTTCTCGATCGGTATTTTTTTGTTCGCAAAACGATCGGCGCAGTGAATGGCTATTATATCAAGTTAAAAAGAATTGTCCAAAAAATTTCCAATGTTTTGAGAAGAAGAATTCTTGTAATCGAATTGTAAATTGATTCAAAGGATCGTTGATTGTAGTCAGAAGCGATCGAATGATAATTTTAATTTGATACCCATTTCACTGATTGGCAAACCAACGTTAACTTCAAGAATTTTGCAAATCTTTTCGCCTAGTCAGAAATTAATTGCCAGAATAAATGAAAAAATGCAGCATCGTATTTTAGAGCTCGATGTCAACTCTTTCGATGTATCGTATTAAAATCCATGTCATGGTAATGTTTATTAGATCCTCGAGAACTGCCACTCAAACTTATACAAAAAAAATTAGCAAATCGTGGATATAAATTTTGCAACGCCCACAATCGCAAATTGCCTCCGAAAAACCGGTTTATTATTATCGCGTACTACGGTCGCCAGTCAACGGGACATTAAACGTCCAGCAAATAGAGCGTCGCAAATAGAAATCGAGCGGGGCAAATAAAACGTGGCTAGTCGGCGATTAATCAAAAACGATCGCCGCTCGCAAAAATCCGTTCCTGGATCAACGCTAAAGTTCTTTCCAGATTCACGATCGCCGCGGAAATTCATCAACGTATCCCGATTAGGTTGATGGGCCGTGATATCGGTGCGATTTGCGTTATCCTTTTCCGTTGAATGGGCAAAAAAAAAAAAAAAAAAAAAGAGAGAGGAGCGGAAAAAAAAAATCAAATCCACTCGCGGCAGAAAAACCGATTAACACCCGCGATTGTACGTCATAGGGTAGCTGGACGTGAATTGGACAGACCGATCGCGTGTATCCGGCGTTTATGCAGACGCATTTGGCGAAGTCGCGGTGCCCGATGCAAAAATGATTGTCCCTGCCAACGGTCTGGTAATCAAAGTGTCAAATTTGTAGCGACGGCGCGAAGTGAAAGCAAATTTGCATACCGGCGCGCAATAAACACAGGGGCCAGGAAGTGATTCGATGTTTTATGAGAGGTCATTGTCTGCACGGCTGACCGCTCCCGGCAACGCAGAAACGAGTACTTTATATCACGTGATAATTTTCCTGCGACCCTTGCACGGACATTATTCGACGTTTCGATTGTCCAACAGCATCGTTGTCCACGCTTAGAGACGATATCTGTTCCTTTCCTAACGTAAATGTAAATGTATCATGGATCGTTCGTTATTGTCTGCCAATATTGTGAGAAATTTTATCGTATCGACCACGTTATTCGATTAATTTGGTCCTTCGAGGGGATCCGAAATTAAAAGAGAAAAGAATTCGAAAAATTGGCTGAGTCATGAATTAATAAAATGCTACACAGTTCCAAAATTTAGTGTCTCGTAGTTCCCCGATTTTTGCCTATCTGAACCACAAATAAGTTATCGAAACAATACTGGATGGAATATACAAAACGATGGATGGATGCTGAAGTTGCAATACTGTTGCAGATTTATATTTTAAGCTAGCGTCGCACGAGATACGGTTCCATTTTTTATACTTTTGTGCAGGACACAAACCAAACGCGTTACTGATACAGAAAATATAAATGGATGGCATAATATACAGTTACTCTCACTCGTATAATTTCTTATGAATTTTTTTCATTTATTTTTATCAAAGTTCATTGTACTGTCTATTTACGAAATAATGCCCAGTTACCAAATTTGTTTATTACACTGTGTCATTTCTATTTACCAAGTAGTTTTGTTTTGGCAAATTCTATTCTCGAATAACAAGTAGAAATGTTAGATCCCTTCGTAAACTAGCTTTCGTAAAATTCGTTGATAGATTCCCATTTAAATTGATACACGAATCGATCTAAAATTTGTATTTCTCAATTGTGAATAAAATTTGCCCAACCCGTGTGTTCACAGTACAGCATGAGAAGCAGCAAATCATGCACGGAACGTACCTTGATGCGACACCGGCTTCACGGACCGCGAATCGTTTCCATTCAGACGACAAAACATCCCAATGAACCTAATACTAATCCCGAAATTGGTTATTCCATCCGTTGATCAATATCGACGTCTATTAATCTGGCATTCGTGCTTCGGTAAATTCCTTGATGACCATTTCCTGGAAGTCTCGTATAGATAGATTCGAAACTAGAAATTGGTACAGTTTCGTTGAATCTTCCGAATTTGGTTCTCGTTTTCATACGAACATTCTGAAGGACAAATTATTCTTGCCCAATCCAGGGAAAACGTTTTAATGTTCCCATTGCTTCGTACTTAAAGTTACTATCGGATACATTTTCCGGTTCGATTCTCTTCAACGAGAATTAAATCGGAACGTCCTACCGGCTTCGACGAAAATCGAGCAACGAATAACTTTCGTTAACTTCGTTTCTCGTCGCGATTTCCGGCTCGAAGCCTGCTCGATACGGGTAAACAATACTTGTCGAGTATTCGGTGGTCGGAGTCGGAGTCGGTGGTCGCTTCAAAGAAGAAGTTCCCTGTTCGATCGAACACGCCTCAATTACGTCAACAACCGCGACGAAAAGCTTTCTTTATCTCGATGACGCTCCACCTGAAAAGTGGTTCTCGACCCCGGGGCAAAAACGAACAGGAAAATCCGCGATTTCTGCTCGGAGAAATCGATTGATATGTTGATCCGTTCGAAAGGAAGTTCGGTTGCGGCTGTGTTCGTTTTGTGAGATCCTCTCCTTTGTAAAATTCGCGGCCCGTTCGATGAACGTCGAACGCGATATTTCGTGTGTTTCGTTCGGTGCCTGATTGACGGGCGCGTTACCCAACAATTCGACCGAATAAACAACAACGGCGAATAGCCCCGTTGGCCCTCCTCCTGTTCGACGTTACGTGCAAACTTCTCGCGGCGCACAGGGGCAGTTTGCGCGAGGCAAAACGTGGATCCCGAGCTTCGAACCCGCGTCTACGAGATCGCGCTTGTAAACACGATCCGCGAGTGGTCTCTATAGAGGGGAAACTTCGTTGTTCGTCTTAGAGGAATTTCATGCTCCCAGTCTGCTTCGATCGTGCCTCGGGAAGGAAGGTACGGACAAAAAGAAGGAAGGAAAAGACGCGTGTCGATGACGTTCCCTCGACGGACAGGGACTCCAACGCGGAAAAGCCTCTTTTTCCGTCGCGTTCGTTCGCGCCTGGAAAGGGGAGAAACGTGTCGCCAATTTCGCTCCGTTTCCCGTAAATCGTCGTGGAACGGGCTCTTGTTTCCTGGTGAGTTCTCCGTTTTCGGTGGAAACGTCGGTTTCGTGCAATGGCGGGGGGCGACGCTCGATCGTTGAAAAGTTCGCCGGCGCGATAAATGGGCCCCGTCTGGCCGATCGTCTAGGTTCTTTCGTGATCTGCCCGCGAGGATGAAGAAAGTTAGCACCATTCGAACTGCAGGCCCACGGAACAATCGAGTCATCACGGTCACCTCGAAAGCGACGAGAGTGTCGCGATGACGATGAGGACGAAGACTGATCTCAAGTCGCCGCTACCCCCGTGTTGCATGGCTGCTGGATTTTCACCTGGAACAACAACGCGAACAATCCATTATTACTATTGAATACTTCTAATTGTTCTTTGTAATGTGGTGCTCCTTGAGTTTCCTTAAAATTCTTTTTTTAAAAATGAATCAAGTATTTGGTTATCTGAGTAGCTTGAATACTTGGTTAAACTTGCCAAAATTCAATTGAAGATCAAGTACTTCAAATCAAGCTACAATAAAACTCATTTATTCCAAATAAATCAAGTATTTGTTTACCTAAGTACTTGATCAAATATGAACAAATTCAATTGAACTTTCTCTAGTTTGATCGAGCATTCAAGCTACTTAGATAATCAATTACTTGACTTAGTTTGAGTTCAAGTACTTGAAATCAAAGCCCATTAATATTCAATTATTTTTGGCCTACAAAATATTGGTCTTTCTGTCCACCGTTTTAGAACAGAATGTTCCATTTTAGCCAATGAATTTGACTGGTTCCATTGCTTGCATTCCCGGCTGAATTCGAACCTAAAATATTTTTCATAAGTTTTGAGTTTTCGATCGCGTGTAGTTTCACCCGCGGCCAATTGGGAGCCTTTGTCGTGCGGAGAAACACGAAGTTTCGATACACTATTTCGAGCACGTACTGTCCACTAAAAATGGCTAGTATCCTGAAACGTTATTTCGAAATTAAACCCACTTACGTAGGTTGGCAGTTTCCGGAACTTTTAAAGCGGTCGCTTAAATTCGACGCTTTTAGCCCTGGAACTTTTAAATAGATTCTGTTTCGAATATCGCTCGTATAAGCACTTTTTCTTCCCGCTTCGAACGCAACGATTTATTCGAGAAACGGACACGGAATAAGAATTGCATAATAGACTTTGTTTATTCCGTTACAACGTAGATATCTAGTTTAAAAAAGAACTGTATACTTTTAAAAAGTGGATTCATATTCAAGTTTGTTTATTTTTTACACCTTTAACAGATAATATAAACAATGTAGTTATTCTAAAAATTATAATTTTTTAACGAGATATTACTTCAACTATAATATAACTAAACTCTCACTAAATATATTAAAAAAAAGGATGGAACTGTGGTCGAGAGAATCGAGCAGAGATCAGCAATTAAGGAAATGATAGAGGAGTAGAGCAGAGAAAGAGAAGACTCGGGAATGATGAAGGGCGCAGAGAAAGGGATGAAAAAATATCGCGTAGCCCGGACTTAGGCCGGATTAATGTACGGTTCTTGATTTTTCGCTAATCCGTAATCTTCCTCTGCCGACTCAAGTGCTCTTAATTCAATGCTCCTATATAATTAAATGTAAGGCGGCGGGGGTGAAATTAACGTCAAATATCGGGGCCAACTTCGCGCGAAATCTCGTTTGAAAACCTCTTGGAAATCACGGACAAAAGTCTCGTCACATTTCGCGGGGAAATCGGAACGAGCGAATTGGCATGCGCTGAATTTCGAAGAACCGGCAAACAAACGCTCGAGTAAATGAGCAATAAATTAATTTCGATTATACTTTCGTTGATAGAAGGTCGTACAAGTTCATTTTATCAATAATAGCCGGTATTGTTACGCGTCTATCGACGGGGACAATCATCGAGAGGTATTCAGAATTATGAAATTGCAGTCAGATTGCCATATGGAGAAAACACTATTATCGTATCGTGTTCCGTTATTGTCTACACGATCGAGGTACGTGGGTTAATGGTCAATTCAATGACCTATAAACCGGTTATAGTCTGAAATTAATTTCGATTGCCGGCATTTCGTCGCCATAAGAGTCCATTTTACCCCTTTTTAATACTCGTCGGGTCACGCTATATGAAATAGAATAAACAAATATCAGCTTCACTGCTTCGATTTAAATAACTGAACTGGTATAAATTTTAATTGAACGATCAATCTTGTCTCAATTTCCTGAGGAGTCGAGACAGTTGGCAATTAATACTTTTAAATTTGTAACAAGGAGCTAGAATTTTAAACGGATCCGTTTAAAACGTCTCAAAAATCCAAGATCCGTGAAATCTGGGACAAAATAATCTCGAGTTTTCGAACGAAACTCGAGTACCGACCGGGATCTCAATATTTTCGAGAATTTATTCGCAAACGTTGAATGCGAATCGTGAATTTCAAATTTAAACCGAAATTTTCTGCATTCTATTCGCGAATTTGTATTTCGTACTCTACCAGTAAACTACCATTAAGTAATTTCGCTTGTAAGATTACTTTTCGGAGCACGTGAACATCATTGAAATGCACCTCGCGGTATAATGTAACAACGATTTTCTAAGGTAATGTCGGAAGAAAAGAATTACCATAACATTGCCTACAAACAGTTTTTCCTCTACGTAGCAAAGAAGGTTATCGTGATATTCCTAAGCATGTTATTTAAAACAACTATATTTCTGAACTATTAAAGAGCAAAGAAGTTACTAAGCATATTTATAATCAATATTATACAAATTCCTTATACACGTAATCGAATTTTCTAATTTTACAAGTCAATTCCTTCAAGTAAAGTACCATTTAAAAAATTTGAGTTTAAATAATTTATTCTATTTTCATTGCAAACGTTCGAATACTTAATTTCAATTAAATTCCACTTTGATTTGCCATTATATGGTAAAACGATTGACGTATACCGTCTACATTAGAATGTACAGCGTTCCCGAAGAGGTCAAACGAGCGATAACTTGGCGAGAATAATTATAAACTAATCTTAATTCGATCGCCCGGGCCGAAGTGCCTGTTATTCGAACTTCGGAGAAATTCGATCGCCAGAAGGCTTCAGAGAACCTCGGGGCTCTATTCGAACTTGGTGGATGAAGTATTTCACGCGACACACTTAAAGCCGGCCAGTTTTCAATATTCAATTAAACGGTGCCCGGGTTGGAAAAATTTACAACTTTGTTTACCGCACCCCCGACGCTGCTGGAAGCCGATTTTCAACGATTTAACCCCCGGATCTTCGCCTCGTTAATTGGTTCCCCCGAGTTCCAGTGAAATAAGGCATCGAGAGGACGTCTCCGTTCGTCCGGAAAGGAATCGAACCTATTTTCCTAACTGCCATAGGAGAGAATCGATTCGGAGTTGTCCGTTCCGCGATTGCATCACGGAAATGGAAGTTTCTTATGGAATCAGATTCGCCAATTAAAACGAAAGGATCTCGATGACACCGCGACGGGATCGAACAGAACGATCAGATTAGTTTGGACGCTCGATCGCGAAGTTAATGGAAACGGTAGTTTTACTTACACTTGGATTGTGTTTGCAAGTCGTGTCATACGCTTGGAAATCAATTCGAGTCCGTTTCTAAATCAGAAATTTATAAAATTATATGGAGGAAGTGAGACATTGAATGGTCGATCGAGTACTTGCGAGAGAAAAAAGTTGGACGTAGCCCTCTGCTGGCGAACGTCGGGAACTGTCGTTAGAATTATGCAACATGTGCACCTGTATAACTTCTACAGACTGTGATGTACATTCATATTATTTTTTAATATGAAATTACTACTTGTAAAGAATTATATCTGAGAATTACGTTATATCGGAAGAGTCGATTATCTTTATCCAGTTAAATGCAGCGGTCTTTTCCGAACGCGAGATATTTTTAAACCAATCCTCGATTTCCACGCCTGCATTTTACAAGCAGAGATACGTTTCAAGTAAGACAATTGCTCTGGCGCTGCTCGACGTTCAACATTTATATTTGTTAACGAGTTCTTAACTGTGGGTACTCTTCGACCGCGTTTCAAGTTCGTACGAAACTCTTCGCGAGTTGTAGATCGTTATTACGAAGGCCCTTCTTACGGTTATTAATATCACGGTGAACTTGTTTGTTCAGCTTTCGAGTAGTCGCATTATAACAAGATGGCATAAGCAGGTTGAGGGGGAATCTCTTTCCATTGTGCATCTGTCAGTCGCAATTACAGCTCGAAAGATTTGAAATCTCTTCGCGTTCTTCAATAGCCGTTAACGAATATTAAGAAACAAATATATATAGTGCTGTGGATAATTATAAACTTTTTCAGTATTTTCAAGGAACAACCGACTATGTCAAGATAGATGTTTTCCTTTGGATTGTAATTACAGAGACAAGACGAAACGTCTAAATTTTCAAAAATTGATCGAGAAGTTATTTCTTATTTACTTCAACGTAACACTGATTTTTGTTAAACGAAGAATTCCTCGAAAGCTTTCAAACACTGAATATTGAGTTTATTTGTTTCAAAGGATAAATATATTTTGTTTATATTTTCGTTCGTAAACAATATTCACGTAAATTGAGCATTGACGAAAATTTCGTACCAATAAATGGAGTTCTATTGTACGCGATAGGGCGTAGCAAAAGTCAGTTTGTACCGAGAGTACGTATATACATAGAAAATAGCTGGGGGTATATTCTAGACTTCGTATATAGGATCTCCAAAGCCCTGGTTGAAGTCCCTCGCCACACAATTGGCCTAACACAGCCTCGTCAGCCATGCGCAGACCGCAGCTTATAGTATATTCGAGCCGCGTACTTTTATCCGCCACGTATCGCGCACTGTATACCTGCATCGCACCTTTTGGATATATTTTCATAAATAAACTCGTTGAGTTTACCTGGCGTGTTGCTGAATTAATGAATCCCGTAACCTCGTTCTACACTCGGAGCATCCTTATAATCTACAATTTTAGTCATATTGCTGTAAGATATAGCGCACTAAACAAACAGAGATGTCTGCAAACGGATGACATAAAATGAGAACGAACAAGGGGTGTGGTTCCACAGTCATTATTTACCCCTATTTTATTCCTTTTTATCAGCAAATAATCTGTTTCAATATCGAGCCAATCAAATTCTAAATAGATCTCGACGAACCGAACAGAATGCTTAATTAAAAGTATTTTCTCTGATATTTATTTCGATAGCAAATAAAGCGTTGTTATTCTCGCCATGTTTATACTTCATCTCTATCGTTTTCCACATTCTCCGCTATTTATTTAACCATCATATTTTTGCAATTTTGTCGAAATTTTTCCACG